TTTTTGAAATATGATGTTGAAAAATCGTGGGATCCATGAAAGATGTGGTTAATATTGATTGTTTGACTTTGATTTAGATTAAAATCTGATTTTAATCATAAACAAACGGGGCCTAAATAAATGCATACACTTATGTTTGCATTTTTGCATGAGTTTATATACCTCATTTTACGTTAAAAAATGACATGATATAACGTTTTATTTGCATGAGTTAAGTGTTAAAACTTGAAATGACATTCTCTGTCACTTTTATATAAAAAGTTCGCACTCTATCTCATTATAAATCTTTTGAATTAGCTAAATAGATGCATACAGTGTATTTGTGAAATCTAAATATGAATATGAATTCAAAATTTTCTTTATATTAAAAAGTGACATAATATAATTATTATTATTTTGTATTTTTTCATATTAATTAATGTGGCAAAATTTTAAAGTGGCATATTTTGTCACCTTTTTTAAAAATAAAAAAAGTCTCACACTGTTTTATTTATATTCATTATGCGGATATAAATAAATTAACGTCCCATTTGTTTTGAAGAAAATGGGAACAAGATAACACATATAAAAGTGCAAAATATGTGAAATTGTTGTCATATGGAATGTACATACAACAACATTCGTTAATATGTAAGTGTCACTTTTTAACAAAAAGGTAACGCCTTTTCGAAAAATCTAAGTTTTGACATTGTTTAGAAGAGACTAAGTTGTCAATATTGTCATGTGCAATTTCATTAATAAAATAATTGATATATTCTTATATTTCAAAAAGTGACACACACTTAAACAAGCCGCATAAATTTAAAAAGCGGAAAAAAATTTAAAAATGATGAAAAATCGAAACGAGCGATAGAAAATGAAAAAGTGAATAACACTCAAAAATGGCAGAAATTAAAAAAATGACACACTCGAAAACAGAGATAAAAATTCAAAGAAAGTGACCAAAGCTCAAAAAATAAAAAAAAATAAAAACGCTAAAAAAAAGTGACAAGAGTTCCCAAAAAAAGGTGACGAACACTAAAAAGACACGGAAAATTCAAAAAAAAAAAGTGACAAAAATAGTATGATGATGATTTTCTCTTTGAATAATTAGTATCTATTTTACCCTGTTAAGAATTTTGATAGTAATTTAGGAATAGAGACAATTTTCAAAAAAATGACAAAAATAATAATTAAAAAAAGTGACAAACACTCAAAAATTGATATACACTCAAAAAAGATAAATTATACAAATTAAAAAAAAGGTGACACTAAAAAAAAAGTTGCATAAATTCAAAAAAAAAAGTGACAAAATAAAAAAGTGATAAACATTCAAAAAAGTGTCAAACGCTAAAAAAGTGACAAACATTCAAAAATTAAAGAAATTTAAAAAATGACAGAAATAGTATGATTGTGATTTTTCTTTGAATAATTAATATCTATTTTACCCCATTAAGAATTTTGATATTAATTTAGAAATTGCAGCAATTTTCAGGAAAGTGATAGACATTTTAAAAAGGTGATTGAAAAATGGAAATAAAAAGTGATAAACATTAAAAAATAACATGAATTCTACAAATTAAAAAAAAAGTGACAAAATAAAAAAGTGAGAAGCACTAAAAAAAATGGCAGAAATTTTTTAAAAAAAAAAATTGACATGCACTCATAAAGTGACACAAATTTTTTTTAAAAAAATGACAGGATTTAAAAAAAAAAAAAAAAAAAGTGAAAGAAATATTGAAATAGTGTGAGGGTGATTTTCTCTTTGAATAATTGGAAAAAAAAAAAATTGACATGCACTCATAAAGTGACACAAATTTTTTAAAAAAAATGACAGGATTTTTAAAAAAAAAAAAAAAAGTGAAAGAAATATTGAAATAGTGTGAGGGTGATTTTCTCTTTGAATAATTGGTATCTATTTTACTCCCTTAAAGACTTTTTGTAATTTAGAAATAGCGATAGTTTCAATCTATTTCTAAAGTGCATAAAATAGTTCTTACGAATTCTCATTTTTCTCATCTATTTGGAAAAATACAGTAATACATAAAAAAACATTTAACTTTTTAATTTTGCAATTAAAGATATCTGAAATTTGCAGATTCTCTTAACCAACATCCAAAAAAGTGAGAAAATATTTTTTTTTCTCACAAATAAAGAGTAGAAATGTGTACCACAAATGCATAATGAAGCCTCATATATACATCAAGTGCTCTATGTAAAAGGGATGCCGGAAACAATAGGGAACCATCAAGACAATAGATCCAAATGGTTGATAATTCGTTCTCTCAAAGATGAACTAAACACTGGTTTTGAGTTGTTGGGCATTTTCATAAAAAAAAACACACACAATAACACTATAAAAAGAATCATCAATGTCACCTAGAGACTCAACACGAATATCAACCACCAAGAACACCTTTCAGCAAACCTTCTTGGCTAAAATTCCAGAGACCTTTAGAAAGATCAATCAGTTGAAATCATCTAGACAGGTCTAACGTTTTTTTATTTTGTACATACAAGTCATAATTATTAATTTTAAAATAAGGTTGTTATAATGACCCTCAATTCCCAAAAATACCTTGATGTAGGCTCATCCAAGGAATGAGAACAAATTCAACTAGACAAAGGTTAAATGACAGCAAAGAATACATCTAAATCAAAAATAAAGAACACACATAAATCACAGAGTACTTGTAATGTACGATTGCAATCTAATTCAACACCAAAGATAAATTATCAAATAAGTAAGTCTATGTTAGCCTAATTACCTCACATATCTGCGAAAGATGTCCTCCAGATCATGAGATCGAGTCCTTGAAGATAAATGGACAACATAGAGATATGTTGTGTTAGCGTAGCGATTGTCCTGACGTGGCATTTTCATCTAATACTTGTCAAACTCATGCCTCGACGAGAAGCAAAGCAAGAGTGCCAATATATTTAAATACATGATTAACTATGTGACAAAGGGGTGAAATGAATTTTCCAAAGCACCGGCTTGTGCACAAAGAAGCATGCAAATTAAGCTCTTAAGTTATAGCCTGAATTAAGGAAAGTCGCAGCTTAGTATATAAGTGAATCCACTAAAAAATAATCCCCAAGTGCATAAACTACTCACCTTTCCTAATTAATAGCAGTGTCTTAAAGATACAATAATCCATATTTATGAATTAACCAAAAATTTAAAGCGAGGTCACGCGCTCGACTGGATGATCTGATATTAAACTAGGGTATTAACCTCTTCCATAATCAAGTGAGCTGAATGTTCTAGAAATGGAATAATTTAATGTAAAACCTCAAAAATTTGAAAATTTGTAGGCATGTGGAAACCTAGACCTGCAGACGAATCTTTCGAGATGATACATGGAAGAACCCAGTCATATAAAATCAAATTCATATGTGAAATCGATGGAGAAAGTCGTACATGATTCGACTTAAGAACCCTAGATGGTGATTTGGGGGCTTTCCGAATTAGGTTTGCGTTTTAGTTAATAGTTTAGAACGTAAGAATTACTTGTTTAAAAGTTTTAATTAGTTTAAAATGTATTAATCAAAGTGATTATTTTTATAGGGTACGGACCCTTATTTCCTTTTTTTTTTTTATTTAAAATGTTGAATCAAATTTAACTCGGATCATTCATCCATTTCCTGATTTCCGAAAAAATAAAAAAACCGGACCAGGTTCATTAAACGGATCCAGATGGATACAATCGTCTATAAACGTACAAAAACATCTTAGCAAACTGCCAATTCCTTAAACAAAAAGTGCCGACACACACGTGAATATAATTTGACTATTTGTCAAAAGAATTCCCTCTTTCGCAATCAAAATGACTCACTTGTCCCTACAAGGAATGAAGAAACCATAAATTTGACAAAAATAATTAATAATATATTAAATATCAGGTGATAATTATTTTTTTGGACGATTATAACCTTACTACAATTCAATTATTTTAATAATGCCCTATTTTCTGTTTTTCATTTAATTAATATCAATAATATATTATTTAATTAATATACATCAAGTGAAAATCATTTTTGGATAATTTACAAATTGTAATAAATACTATAATTAATTTTATTATTATTCTTATTTATTAATTAATATTAATTAAAATTTCACATTCAATAATGTAATTCATTATTCACGTCCATGTATGTTAATTAGCATCCCGTTCCACTTAATTGAACATTAAATTAAATTATATTTAATATAAATGATTTAACATTTATTGTCTGTATATATTCCTTAGTATTTATTATAAATTAATTAATCTTCACTTTAATTCTTGTATCGTATTTGTCATCCATTTTAATTTATGCATTTTAGTTGTAATTCTAATACTTACATTCAAATATGCATTTCATTATTTACTTGCATGTATAATAATTAATATTTATTTTTAAGGCATGCATTTCTCTCATATTTAAATCAAAAGAGTAAATATTGAGTCAAAGATTACCTTCACAACATTTATAAAATATTTCAGAATAATGTGCAACGTACATTCAACTCTGGCTAGTAATTAAAAGAGTAATATTATTCATCATCAATGTTAAACATCAGTCCAAATGTCAATGATTGTATTTTAAATTGATAAATGATAGATTGTTATATAATATTATATAAATCTTGATAAACACGTAGCAGGATCCAAAAACTTTTACCGTTCATTTACTGAGTTGGTAAGTTTAAAGAAAAATGCTAGTTGTACAGTCTTTTTGTACAGCCAATTTGTGGGGCCCACCCCATGTGAGGGAGCTGTGTAATTGGCTGTACAAAAAGACTGTAAATGTAGCCTAATTCAAGTTTAAAATCTAGGTGGGTATTTTTGGGAATCAGAATCCACAAATCCAAAATAAAATGACAAGCAGATTTGACTCTAAGATTTTACCGTCCAGAAGACAATAATCTTAAAATACTTTTTCCTGCAGAGAATCTCTGCACAGAGTCCGCGCACCCTTTCGTCTCTTACAAAAACCCATAGAATTCCACAACAAGGTCGCCCAAATCTGCCATGGATATCCCTGAAAAGCTTCTCAAGTACAAACTCCACATCCTTTCGGCCATTACTTTATGCTCATCCATCGTTTTTATCATCTATCTTGCACCTAGAGTTCTCGATATTATTAAGTACTTTTGGCCTCTACTCGTCTCGACGGCGCTCTTCCTCGTTGCCGTATTTATTTTTGGTCGGATTTCTCCTCCACCGGCATCAGCCCCCGATGAAAAAGCCGGAGAAGGATTGTTGGACTACGTTGCCGGTCAGCCGGAGCAATTACATGCTGCCGCCATACAAGAGCTAGGAGAAGATAGTTTCAGAGCCCAATAATGTTTTATTATGTAATTTTTTCTGCCCTCTTCACTTTATTCGTAGATTCTGGAATTGAGAGAGATCTTATTTCTAACTATTACCTTTTATTTTTTCTTTTAAGGCATGTTTGTTTTGGATTAAAATCTGATTTTAATCAAAATCAAACAATCAATATCAATCATATTTTTTATGGATTTCACAACTTTTCAACCACACGTTTCAAAAACTTCTATCACAATCTACTAAAATTTTAATTTTAATCAAAATCAAACACCCCCTTAATATTTTGATCTATTTGGTGAGAGAGTTAAGATTCTCCATGGTCACTGTAATTTAGCCTTTGTTTGCTCACCATTATTTAAAAAATATACACGTTATTCAATAAAATAATATTATACATAAATTTAAAAAATTTCCTTATTTTTTAATCATATAATCTCTATTGAATCACTATTCCAAAATACATTTTTGATAACAAAATGAAGTTCAAACAGGTTCTTAGTAATAATAATGTCGATTCTTGATACTTTAAAATATTTTTGAACGGTGATCATACTTTCAAATTTGTTTAGTAATTTTAATGTCGATTCTTGATACTTTAAAATATTTTTGAACGGTTATCATACTTTCAAAATTGTTTCTTGTTCATTACTCGGTCCCTTTTGATTGCAAAATTAACAAGTTTGACGACGATAACGAAGGAGTCTTGATTCAGAGTCAAGAATGTTAACACATGTAAACAATTTTGAAAATGTCGTGATTATTCGAAAAATTTAAGGCCAACCAAAGGGAAACAACTTCGAAAGTACGACTGCTGATAAGAATTTGATAGCCAAGTGACAGGTTGATAAACAACTTATGTGGAAAGTAAATTTGATTTTTTTTTTTACTTTTAATTTTTCATAAAAAATGAAAATTATTCCTTAATAAACAACTTATGTGGAAAGTAAACTTGCATAAACTAAAGTTAGCCTCCGTTTGGTATCCATTCTTTTTTTCATTCTCATTCTTCTACTAATTTTCAACCACACATTCATCAATAAAATAATATTTTCCATCACATCAATAAC